CCATATGAACAAATCTCTTTTTTCACCAGAGTCTTTGTGTGTTTGTTTTTACCTGTTGTGTTGTATTTCATATATTTGGCGTTCTTAAAAAAAGAAAAAAAAGTCAGGCGGAATGATGGGGACCCACAGGTTACAGTTATGACGCTTCCTTGAGTTTAACCCTTTTTAAAGGCTGAGTGTTCCAGAACCAGGACAGGGGGTGCCGAGAGCACTCTCAAGTTTTTCAAAGGCTCCAGGTTTGCAACAACTTTGGCAGAAAGGTAGCAGTTTCCCTTATATCCCTCACATTTCTCCTAGAACTCTCCAAGTAATGCAGGGAGTTCTCAGCCCTGAGTGTCACAGATGCTGATGCTTTAGGGGTACCTCTGAGTGATGCCTTACAGCCCTAGGGCACAGCAGAGGGGGCTTGAGGAGGAGGAAAAGGGGCAGGAGAGGGAAGACCAGAAGGGGAGAAGGAGGGGGGAGCAACAAGTAGTCAGAAGAAGGGAGTAAAAGACGCTGAGATGCTGCTCGGTGTGGAGCTGGGTGGTACCAGCCTGAGCCACCTCCGCCTGCCCTCCCGTGATGGAATGGGAGCTTTTCCAGCGAGGTCACGCCAAGGCCCCGCTCTCTGATTTAAATGCTTGCGTGCTCACTCACTATCAAGCTTTTCCAATGCTCACATCTGGGCTGCATTACCAAAGAGGCCCATGTGTTTGCAGAAGATAATTTACAGCAGCAAATAACAACCCCCCAGCCCGGAGAAGTCCCCCAGCAACCTGGGGGAGTTTGGACTCACATGGAAATGGAGAATTGGTTCAATGAATTATGGTGCATAAATAAATTATGGGGCGTCTATATACCCAAGTGTCACATGTGTATTTAGCACGTTATCACTAAGCTTTTGTAACTGAAGACAAAGGTTTAATCCTGAAGTTCATAAAGGGAACGCTAAGCGCCCTTCACCTTCAGGGTTTTCTTCCATGCAGAAGCAGCCTATGTTTCTGAGCTGCTCCCTGTGCCCTGAGGGGAATTAACCAAGAGAAAGTCACCCCTTCTCCCAGAGCTGCAGGACCCCAGTGTTTAGCTCAGGACCCACTGAGACAATGCACGTCAAATATTTAGCCCAGTGCCTACCACAGGGTTAATGCTACATATCCATAGAGAGAGAGAACTTCTTGAGAGCAAAACTGAATGGTTTTTTCTTTGTCATAAACGCTACAATTTTTTTAAAAAATTGTATTTCTTTATATTTTTTATAGCATTTTGCAAACTCACTTTCTATCCCGATGTCTCTTTATTTGTCACAACCAACTTGAACAAGAGCGTATTTACCGTCTCTAGTGCACTGGACCATAATCTGGGCCAGGAATGTGGGGGATTTGGGGCTTGGAGGGGTATGATTGTCTAGTTTGAAAAACTCCTAGGATGATTCAGATACGCAGCCCCTCTCTCTGTGGGGAAACGTTGAAATGCAATGTACTTAAAAAAAAAAAAAAACTAATCTCTTTTATTAAAGTGACCCATCGGTCACTGTACGAATGCCATCACTTACTGAACCTAATCTTCATTGTCGGCATTTGGATATTTCTAACTGTTTGCAATGAAAATAACTGTGATGCACATCCTTGTAATGTGCTACCACTGCGGGGAATCCTTTGTCATTGTGCATTCACTACTTCGTGATTGCACCTGGGTGACTGCTTCCAGCTACGGAATGAAGAAGTTACAGGGATGAAAGGTATAGCATGGGCATACAGCCAATGGTATTGTAAGAGCATTGTGCGGTGACAGAGGACAGCTACATTTGTGGTGAGCACAGGATAACGTAAAGGCTCCTCAAATCACTATGTCATACACTTGCAACTAATGTAACAGTACGTGTCAATTATACTTCAGTTGAAAAGAAAAAAAAAAAGAGGTCTGGTGTATTTCCGGAGGCTCCTGTAGTGACCAATATCCAAATAGAATCAAAAGCTGTCTTTGGTTCTATTCTTCAATGACTAAAAGGGTTGGTGGTGGTGTCTGTGGGGTTGTAAGTCTCACCAACAGTTCTGTTCTCCCCAAAGAAGAGGCTAGAGGCCCTCTGAGAGGCACCAGACTTCACAGGGGTTCCTCTAACCCCCTTCGTAAGCCCTCCAAAGAACAACATTCCACTGAGTGACCTCCATCAGTTCACTTAATTCTCTGCATGCTTTTGCTTTATCATCTCTTTAATTAAGCTGGAGTAACAACAAGTACTTAATTGGAATAATAACAAAGATTATTATGATCTCACTCTACTGTTGGGAGGAAAAATTAAGTGAATAATTAAGAAGTTGATAAGGGTTTTAAACACGCAAGGAGTTAAGGGAAAGTCACGCCATGTGATTATGGGACACTCGAGATAATGCTCAAGTAAGTGCTGAAACTCACGGGAACAAGTAGCAGGCTGCTCCGGCATCTCAGGAACCTGCTTCCAGAAGATAGGGTCACCTTAGGAATGACTGAATAGAAGGGAAGATAGAGTTTTCTCCCCCTGGTATTTTTGAGACCAAAACTAGACCAGATATCAGCTGTCAGAGGAGTTCACAATCGGATGACTAAATAAATGGTACTTGTTTAAATTCTCCAAACACAGGATTTTGCTGACTAGTTATGCTGCGTAGATAACACACGTGTGTGCAAAGATGAAAATGCCAGGATCTTAACCACAGCCTGCATTAAAGCATACATATTTGGAAACAGCCTAAGTGCTTCATAGGAGACTGGACCCCTAAATTATGAAAGTGCAAACAAAGTGGATTTTCACAGACACAAGGAGAAATCTCCAGGTAGAAACAAAGTCAGTCACCAAGCAACACGTCATCCTTATTTTTCTCTGAGAAGGGAAGGGTGTCAGGGGTGGAGGGGAGGGAGGGAGGCTGGGGAGAGTAAGTTCATATAATTTGAAACGTTTACAGTCAAAATATAATCTTTTGTGAAAAAATTTATTGACGTATGTTGAGCCGTTTTTCACACACAAGATTAAAATTTCCGTATGCTCTGACCCCTGCTTAATGACTAATATGCACTTTTTCCTACTGCTTGTAGTTTTTGTTTGTCTTTTCCTCCCATTTCCATGAACACAAGCACTCATGTCATACTCTTTCCAGGAAACTCCTATGTTTTTCTTTAGGATTTCCGTGCAATTCTCCACACCAGCTATGCTCCTGGACAAATCACCATTTATGCTACCTCCTTCCTGGGTTTCAAAAATATGTCTGGTGGTATGAAAGAAATTCTAAGCCAGATACCAAAGCAAAAAGCAAAAAACAAATTGGGGATTGTCAGTACTTTATTTCCTGAGTTAGGAGCAGCTACCATCGACAATCACAATTCATATAAAAAAAGATGCTTAAAAAAAAGGTAGGACATCTTATTACCATACTTTTGGGTTTCATGGAGCAGACTGAAGTAAATGAAATGAAGTAAAAAAAAAATCGTGTAAATCAACATGATTTTGCCAGGTAATCATAATAAGAAGCTTCCACTACTATGTCATAAAACAAATCATTTTTCTTCCTTCCTTCCTTCCTTCCTCCTTTTCTTTCTTTCTTTCTTTCTTTCTTTCTTTCTTTCTTTCTTTCTTTCTTTCTTTCTTTCTTTCTTCTTTCTTTCTTTCTTTCTTTCTTTTTCTTTCTTTCTTTCTTCTTTCTTTCTCTTTCCTTCCTTTCTTCTTTCTCCCTTTCTTCCCTTTCTTTCCTTCCTTTCTTTCTTTTTTTAAGTAAGCTATCAAAATTACAAAAGCATGTGCCTCTGAACTAAACTGTCCAACTGTCAAACACTTCACAACCCAGGGATCAAGAGTTGCATGCTCTACCAACTGAGCTAGCCAGGCACCTCAAACAAAGCATATTTCAATATCCAAAAAATAACACAAGCTCAGAATACAGAGACATTCTTTAGGTTGATCTAGCTTTATGAAAACTTATTTGGATTCATGGAAAATCTACGACCTTAGCTTATTTTATCAGATTTGGCTTCAGACAAGGAAAACAACTTATCATGAAATTTATCATCAAATTCAGGTAGAGGGGAAAGAGCTGTTAGTTCACAGAAAGGGGCTTTCAGCAAAATTGGGAACGTTTTACTTCTCAAGCTAGGTACAGGAACACAGGTGTTACTTTTCATAGCATTTTATTTATTTTAGAGTGTGAATATTTCATGTGGAAAACTATTCCTATCATGGCTTTAAGAAATTACTGAGTTGAATGCCTCCATTTCCGGAGAAAGTATGTATGGAGGCCCCTAGGAATGGGTAAGTGACCTGCCCAAGCAGAGCCAGGGAACAAGTCAAGGACTCCTTACATCCTTCTCAGCAATCTCTCTGACTGCAAGCTGAATTCAGATTTCTGCACTTTTTTTTTAAATGTTTATTTATTTATTCATGAGAGTCAGAGAGAGAGAGAGAGGCAGAGGGAGAAGGAGGCACCCCGCCTAGCTGGGAGCCTGATGCGGGACTCGATTCCAGGACCCTAGGATCATGACCTGAGCCGAAGGCAGACACTTAACCATCTGAGCCATCCAGGCGCCCAGATTTCTGCGCTGTTAAGATAATTCTTTCCATGAGCATTTGTTTGCATTTTATCTTCTATTCAAACGGAGGCGTGAAATTGTATAAAATTCAATTCTTGCCACAGTCTCTAGGAAATGTTCATAACGTGTAGTAAATGTTTGCCATATTTCAAATTATAAAAATCCTAAAGTATGCTGAGTTGAAAACAGCCTTAGGTATTAAAACAAAGTACCTATGTTTTCCAGCTTTAAATGGATCCAAAGGACTTTGAGGAATAAAGGAAGGTGATCCTATCCTTCATCTTCAAAGAAAACAGTTCTACACAGTATCTATGGCAACTTCGTCTCCAGACTAAGACAGTAGAGAATCTTTTTCACACAATAATGTTTTGATAGGTCTGTTCTTTTTTTATTCTCTATCTGATCACCAGAATTTTTTTTTTTAAAGGGAGGTGGGAATGCTGGATGTTTCTATGGATACGTACCTCACAGCAAAGTGCAGGATGGTGGCACCCGGTTTCTTGGGCAGATCATGGTCAAGAACTCGGTGATCTAACTGTAGCCAGTTCTGCTGACCTCTGTGAGGACAAAGCAAAGAAAAAGGATTAAACAGAAGGTCAGAGAAAGGTTCAATAACACACAATGTTGGGGAGACAGTTGCTGTCATACATGGACCGTAGGCGTATAACCTGTTACAACTGGTAATGAGGTTAATTTAGCAATTACTATTAAAGTTATAAAAGCATCTGCCTCTGAACCAGACTGTTGATTTCCAAGAATTTATCAAGGTAAACTTGCACATGTGAAAAATGGCCCATGCATAAAGTCCCTTACTGTAGCATTGGTTGTAATAGCAAAGAGGCTCAAAACAACCTACAGAGGTCCAGCAAGGTGTTGTTTAAAAATTAATTTAAACTGAGCAATAACATACAAGAGAGCCATACAAAAGATGGAGAGTATCTTTACAAACTTATTTTGAGCAATTTCTAAGACATGACGTTAAATGGAAAAACAAGGGGCATAACCGTGAGTACAGTATATAGCCATTTTAAAATATAAAAATACACACACACACACACATAAATAAAATATCTCTGAGAGGATAAACAAGAAACTGATACCACCTGGTACCTTTGGAGGTAAAAAACTAGGTGAAACTTAATATGTTAATCTTTAAATTCTTTTTTTTTTTT